AATTTGTGTATTAAAAAAGAAAATTTTGATGAAAAATCCAATCCTTTGGTATTTATATCATATCATATCATATCATATCATCCTCATCACGAAGACAAAATCAGACCATCACCAGCCTTTCACATTTTCGTTTTCACTTAAAAACTGCTTGCTGTTACTGTTTTGGAAGCTGCTAGCAACTGACAAACGCTACGATGTTGAAGGTTAAACTCAGTTACAGTAGACCAATTATGGGTAAACAATGACTGACTGCTTCATAAATATAAACTGAGATAGAAACATTAATTGTTTGTATGGATGAGCACGCTTGCTTGCAGTTTGCAACTGCACACTTCTCTGACAGTCAGTCTCATAAATCAGAGAGAGTGATTTGCTACATTCCAATCACATTGCACTCCTTAATTAATTTCAAGCTTGCTTCCTACTTCTGCCAGCAATAACATTTTTTGTCAATTCTCCTGTATCTATTCAGCTAGGCAGTTTTCGCTTGAAGGACCGATTTCAGACTGCTAAAATTTATACCTCAGTTTGCTGTGCTGTCGTTAATTTGAGTACGATCCAACATCATTCTATACCTCCAATCATCACTAGCATGAAAGTTTCTCCAAAAACTAATTTTTTACAGCATTACGGATATATTACGAAACAATGAAGAAATTACGACTACTGCCACGTGAGCGATGCATCACTGAATTACACACATTAAGCCCATTTATTGTACTAGAGCGTGGCAAGTACAAAATTCAGAAGAGTAAGAACCATTTTACTGAAGGAAGGTAAGCACAGAGTTTTCAAGTGAAAATGAACTAATCTCCTAGCAAGCAAATTCATCCTCAAATCCATAAGAATGCAAAGGGAATATGAGCTCTTTTTTGGGTGAATGACAATCTAAAATCATTACTGCAGGTACTTTTCGCTTTGGATCAACCGAAATAAGTGGAAAATTATTCAAGAATGCCGTATTCTATTTACGTGACCTATTTTGGTAAAATTCACTTCATCGTTAATTGCAGAGACCTTTAGACTTCTTGATCAAGAAATCTACTGCATGAATACTGTGAGCTCCTGAGAAACTTTCAAAATAAATGAATTCAATATTCAGTTTTGTGATTATCTCTATTATTTTTGACGCAAAAATCGGTTAAAGCTTAAAGCTGTTGTATAGACAAAGAAACTCACCCTCATTTGATCGATCACAAAAAGTGTGCATTGGAATATCATCGCACGATCCACAATTATTGACTTCGAGCAAGAATTTCAGAAGAAAAGTATTCAAGTCATTTTGTAACTGGCAACTGGTCATCTGTGCAAATGCAGTGCATGGTGTGAAGAAAGTGGACAAAAAAGGAGCAAACAAAATCAAAGCACTCGAGAATACTAAATACTCGTGAACACTTCCACACATTTGCCAAACGCTCCAATACACATTTCCAGTTGAAATACGCGTGGAAACTAACTTGAATGCACCTCAACAAAGACACGCATTTAGAGCGCTGAAGCATGCGCAAGTGATTATCTAACATACACTCTCGTACGCACAAAGATTTACATATATACGTACTAAACAAGCCAACAAAGCACAACCATAGCCACGCACATCGAAACCGAACTTACACACTTCAGTTTATGCAGAGCATGCTTGTAATACTTGGACACAATCGTTGTTTATGAAAGCATTACCAAACTTGCTTGAACACGTTTTTCTGTATTATCATAACAGTAATGAGTGGTGGTGGACAGATGGTAGATGAATCAAGCTAAAACAAGTATAACATGATTGTAATTGTAAAATTTCTAGCATTCAAAATATTGATACAAGTGAGAAACTATGCTAACTTGTCTCGTTCACGCTGCAGATGCTGACTTTTCATACCAAATTCAGTGTTCTTCTGTAGAGAAATAAACTGTAGTGTACAATTTCAGAGTATACACAAACTTTCCAAATGGCAAACAAGTCTTTGATCTGATCTTTTTTGAATTCTTTTGACTATGGAAATCGTAGCAAAACTTCCTCCCTTAAGGAGTTTATTGATAGTTTGTCTGCGTAAGATATCTGCCTTCTGCAAAATCCCAACTAATCATTCTTACTACGACTAAGTCTTTTAGCCCACTATCATGATGACCATTGTGAGTGAAATCAACAACCAAATGTCTTCACACATAATCTGTACATTATGAATACTGGTTATACATTTGTCATTTTGCATTATTATAATTTTTTTCCGCTCTATGAATTTGCAAAGCATTTCTTCGCGAAATAAAAGATAAGTGACAAATAAACATTCAGAAGTACAATCTAAACTCCAATAAACACTGAAAAATGTAGAATTATGCTACATTTATACTGGTTGATACTCATCGTCAAAAAATTTTTTTACAGAATGTTCATCAGTAGAAAGTAAATATTAGACAAGCAGCAGAACTTCCAAACCTATGACAATCACTCTTTATCTCTTGACATCTCCCTTTCAAATATTTCTCAGAAAATCTACAAAAAATCTTCAAAAATCACATTTTACTAAATAACAACTTCAGTTAATGACTTTCAGTTTTGTATTGCAAGCAGTTAATTTGCGAAATAATTCCACATTTCACAGTTATAAAAAACAGTTGAAGCAAAATACATCACATACTATGAATACAACGCAAAACGTAAGTAAAATATCGAAAGTAAGGAAAACAATGAAAAGTATGGAACAAAATAGCATTGTTTATACATATGAATTACGTATTCATTGTGAATGAAATATCTGTTGTGAAGTGTTTTGGTTCATTACCAATAAACTACTTTTCAGCAGACATTTCCTTTATCAGAAAAGTATTTACTTCGTAATTAAAAATAATCCAAAAAAATTAGAACCCAATATTGTACTGATTTGTTGTGAAACAATTTGTAGTGTTAACAAAATAAAGGTTATTCCTCCTTGGAGCTGAAGGATTCCAAAAATTTTCTTTCTCCAAAAATGCTTCCACCTGCAGTGAAATGGTTATTTTGGGAAAGCAGAATCCCCTATTAATTAGTAGCTAGGAAAAAAAATACATATTTCATCTGTTGGATCAAAATGTGAAACTTTCGGGCTAGTGACTGAGCATTCAGGGTACTGCACATTAGTAGTTCTTAGTAATAAGTTAAAATTGTTGAGTTACAATAGAAATACAAATGGTAAAATTGATAAATTTTAAGCTCAGAATTACGCTGTAATTTATGAAATATTTCAAGGATCTTACTTGTTTCCTATATTTTCTATTAAAATCTAGTGGATCCCGTGCAAGTACTACAGTTGGATATTTGAGTGGCTGCGTAAGTATCACATAATCATACTGATCATTAGTATTAACAGGTCCATTTCGTACAACTGAATCTGAAATGTACGAAAAACATATAAATTCAATAGAAGAGCTCATTATAATAAATTATAAGTGTTAAAATAAAGTATTTTTTCATATATTAGTCTCATATATTAATTCTTTTATATCAGTTATCTTTTATCAGTACTGAAATAGAAAGCAAGAGATATAGCAATGCAAAAAAATTATCTAGCAAATTTAAGCTAAACTTTATCTTACAATCATATTAATTTTCATTTTACTGAGAACAATAGCTTCACTAGCATTAACATGGAGTAGAAGCAGGATGTCAATGTCAAGCACTAATATACTAAAAGACGAGTTTGTCAAATATGTTCTAAAGAATGATAAAAAGTGAGCGTTAGTACTCGAATCACAGAAAAGAAATAATAAGTTGTGTTAAATTGATTACTTCAATATCTGTTACAATTTCATCTCAAGAATTTTTTTTTTCATTTCCTTATTCTTAGCATAAGGCTCAATAAAATTAGCAAAAAATAAATCTGAGTTAAATACTTACAATTTATCGCAAGCATAATTTCAGCCTACCAATTACTCAAAAATAAGTACAAAAGCTGAACACATTTATTTTCAGAAGCAGTGGAAATGAATATATTGTTGCTCAATTGAAGTCAGTTTGCATTAATTAGTACAAAAAATTTTCGTATCTACTTCGATAAAATATTTGTTTGAAAATTGTTTCTATCAAAGAAAACGACTTAAGAGTTGAAGTTTAAGATAAAAATCAGCTAAAAAGCATGATACGGTTTTCAAAAGACCTTACAGGGACATGGGTCTAACACATGTCCGATGTTGATCAGCAGTTCTGCTGGATCAGGTCCAATTTTCCTCCCATATCCTTCTAAAATCTGCAGATGCTCTGAGTTTCGTGAGTATTGACGTACTGTGAATGTAGCCGTGAAGAGTGTTTTGTCTAATAATTTAACTGAAACATTTGAAAACACGAAATAGTGATGAAAAAACTGATTTCTCATTTAAAATCAAAGATTGAGGAAAAAACAAGCAACTTACAGTAAAATATGGGACAGCGCTCATGATGGATGCCCGGCGTATCAATTACCTATATAGAAAATAATAGAAATAAGTTTAAATAGATGGAAACAGAATGACTTTTGAAAAATTAATAAAAAGTACTTATTGAAATTAATTAAGAAACGGGAGAAGATTCGAGCCATTACTAGATGTCCTACCTTAACACTGAATCTCTCAGACAAACCAAGAATAGAAAATATGTCAACAGACAAGCTCTTGAAATCATTTAACTCAATTTCAGCCTAGAAAAAAGAACACATCACGCAGAGTTATGCAAAGATTTGGAGTAATGAGTTAATATTAATAGCCGATCCATCAATACGGCTTTGACATGGGAAAAGTCGAGACCGAGAAGAAGCGAAAGCACCATCTACTGCAAATAAACTCGGGGCAGAGATGAAGTGCAGAACGTAAATAATTTCGTATGTGATGACTTGGGATGGGATAGAGACGAGCTTCCATAGACATTATGCGAAGGAAACCAGTGTATTTGATCACGTATATATGAAGTCGATAAGAAGAAACCCCAAAGCATCCCATTCGATCATCGCCACGAGGATGAAGCACTGAGATGAGTACAAAAGAAGTGAGCACATGTCGTGAATGCCAGAACGCGATGCAACGCCAAAATCAATAAAGCGAAAAGTTTAATCCCTGTGTAATACTGTTTATCTGAAGTTAATAAAACACTAATTTCAGAATAAATCTTTAGCTGACTTATATTTCAGAAAGCTACTTTTAAATGTACAAGAAACTAGCGTCAAATGTCCTTACCAAAAACCATTTACCCATCAATTTCGTTACGTCCGTATCACCAGCTGCCATATACAACGAATTGTATAAGTTACTGGCAAGATTGTTTGCATCTACATCTCGCAAAATCTTTAAAATCAAGGGAATTATAGAAAGTAACACAAATTTATGGAAGTTGATGGGATTATTGAAATGTGGAGAAAATAAAGAGCTGCAGAAGCTGTCAAGATCAATTTCACTCTGAGTTGAGGAATTTGAAGTGATTTAAAAAACTGGAAGCTATTGAAAATAATAGGAGTAAACTGAAAATCAACTCGACTGAGGTTAACATAATAAAACCAAACATTTCTAAGTTTTTCAATCACTGCTGAACTACGGTCATTCGGCTCGCAGGATTTTGCATAGAGCTCAAAAATTCGTAAAGCTGGTACAGACCGACCTGGTACAGGGATACCTCCGAGATATTTTGCTGAAAACTAATCATGCTCTATGGACACTCATTGTGTAATATATAGATTTTATTCAAATCTGATTTTTTCTGCAGTACCTTCCATCCATTATTTTTTTTATCAGTATCTTAGATAAATTTGTCGCAGAATTTTTGCAAAAAAATAATAACAGAACAAACTCAATAATGTTATAATCCTAGCAGACTTATAAAAACACAACAACTTAGATAAAGTTACGGAAAAGAGACAGAGTAGTTAATTGTTCATTCCCATGATACGTATCATGAACTGCCCTGAATTCTAATGAAAAGCTACAAATTAAGCTTCCAGTGACTGACTAATTACAACTAAATAACTGGAGAACTAATTTGAAATGAAAATACGGTACCTGCATTTGAGAACTTGAATGATACTAGGAAGAACGTTGTCAATCGTTGTATCAGCATTACCGCAGAAGCAAAAATCAGAGAGTTCAGAAGGTTGAACGATAATACTCCTTCAATGACCTAATTTACCCTCTATCTATTATTGAAAGGCCGCGTGTCTATCGTAACTTCCATTGAAGTTAAAGACAAGAATTTGAACATACCCACTATCGAAATATGAAAATTTCGAGCATTATTATAAAGTTAATTCTCGTTTAATTTTTCTGCTATGAGTTAATTCTCGTTTAATTTTTCCTCAATTATAAATATTACATACAATAACTTTTTGCATTAAAAAAAACTCATTCGACAGCATAATAAAAATATGTTGATGTTGATAATTCTCCAAGGACTTTGTAATGAAATTTTTGATCAAATGAAATCATCAATCAGAAAAGGCTGAATTATATATTCAAAACTGAATAGACCTTTCAAAAAAGTAATATAAGCTTTTTCTGTTCTGAGATTACTGTGATTTTCCCACATTTGCGACTGATAAACCAATCCATACAAAATGAACAAATCTTTTTTTAACTGCCGTAAAAATAAGAAAATATCGCTGTAGTTCATGGAATGCAGTCATATATATATAATGTATTGCATATATGAATATACTGCTCGGCTCGCCGAGTTGCCGAGCGGTTGAGCTGCCAGCTAGTCGGTCACATCATAAAGCACGAAATGAGGGATAAACGAAAAAGAACCGAGCCTGAAACCATAGACGGAAACAAATGTAAAATAGGTGAGGTTGTTGAAGAAAGTCCGGAAAGGACATGAGAGCACTCGACGAGTGTACCGGAACCAGTGTAACGGATTGTTGATCGAGAACAGCGAAAGTGCCGAAACACGAGCCAACGCGAGAATCAAGAAGATTAAAAAAAGATTGACCTCCAACCTGCTGCACATGATAGATGTACAAATTGGATTTTACAAATTTCAAATATCCTAGCTTATATATGTGTATATATAATAATGCTTTCTAATATTCACATAGTCTCGTAACGCTTTTTCGTCTGAGTGTCTGTGAGGAGAAATATCGATTTGGCGCACACCGATCGCACACACCCTTCTTTATTACTAAAATTACATTTATTACCTTCGGCCACACTATTTCTACTCTTTTATAATATAAGATCGTACACAATTGAACAATTACTTAAGAGACATTAACTAAATTCAGTTTCTTGCGTCTCTTCTAGTAGTCGAGTGGAACTAATTGTACCACTCAGCACTTCCGTGATGAGTTCGATACCGTCTACGGCCAGAAGCTGCACTTTCTCACACCTCAAATCCACTTCCATGTTATAAATATCATGAGAATAAAATATTTATCGTTCGGGTGATATTTGCATTTTGAATATGTGTAGTATATTTCATGTTTAAAGCATTGCATGAAATATTAATATGCACATTGTAATGTTGAAAATTCAAATTAGATTTTAAAGAAGTCAAGTTGAAATGATTATTCGGTCTTTATGCTTGATAGCTTATATCTCTGCGCATAATGTCGTACGTGATTATTTTATACTTATTTACAAAAGTTTAATCACGGATCTAGTCGTTATTTCTCTTTCTCTTACAGCAAATTAAAACTTAGATTAATTTTTTTCAATTTCAGATGAGAAGACGTTTGAGGAGGACTAGCAGTGGTAGTTCGACTTTTAACCGCAAGATTTTTAGAAATGAAGGCGACGATGCTTCTCACGGTCAAACGAGAGTGACTCTCAGGAGTGATCGAAATAAGAAACGAAAGGTTGTGAATAGTCTTGCGTGTTTATTGTATTTAGATGTCAGAGTTATTTCGAAAATTCACAAATATATTTTCGATGCTTAGAATCGTGGAAAAAATAAGCCAACAGTTTAAGAATTTTATAGTTTTTAGACGTATAATTTCTGACTTATATTGTAGAGGCATGAAATAATAAAACTTATGAAATAATAAAACTACTCGGATTTCGTGTTTATATCTCAAGTGTTTGAGTGGCTTGTACTAAAAAACATTATTGGAATTTTAGATGATGGTTGTCAGTTTATATTTCGATGGAAACATGCTTTGTTATATGTGTTATGTTATAGTTATAGCACTCATGGCACTTATCATAGTATTATATTTCATAATAGCTATAATTTTTTTAGGAGGTTTCTGTAGCTATAATTAACTCTGAGAATGAATCAAGCGATAGATTTGAAGACTCCAGCTCTAATGCATTTGATAGTAGTAATGATTCTGATGAAAGAAAGCATGGCCTTAAATCTGTTAGGCCTGTCAAGGTAATTTGAGGATTATTTGTTCAGAAGCAGATTATTTTACTAAAATCATTTGCAAATATATAAATAAACTTGTCCACCTAACTAGCTTCATAATTTCGGTTCTTTTGTAGTAAAAGTGAAATCTCAATTTTAGACACGAGGTCGAAGAATTATGCCCGAAAAATATGCTGAATATGCTGCTTATCGTGTATGTAATGATTCCTACTTTTCTGAATTTTGATCAAAACATTTTTATGTTTTGTCTTAGATTTTTGTATTTATATTATTGACAGTAGTAAAATTAAAAAGACAATTAGATCTATTTTTCATAAAATTGCTGCTTATTATTCCTGATACGCAGATTAATAATTATGTGCAGTTTTATGATAACTTTTTGGAGAAGGAAAAAGTTTGGAAAAAGTTGCTTACATTATAATATTTTGTATCATTAAAATATTATAAAGTGAATCCTTAACAACTATATTTTTATTATCAAGAAATATTTAGTTTTGATCTTGAAATTTTATATACAGGGTCATTTGACTAATTGGATCGTGCTAACAAAATTAGAAAGACAGCAGCTTGCAATGCAAGCTATCGCTCAAAGCGCTGATGGCATGGTGAACTGTTTGAACGAGAAGTGTAAGAAAGCTTTAAAAACTATGGAGGATGTTATTAATCACTTGGATAAATGTCTCAGCTTGCCTGAATATTTCAAATACATGGTTTATTATTAATTTTCTTGTCAGAAAGAAATTCATTTGTCTATGTTTTATTTCTAGACACTATGTGTTTACTTTAATTTTGTTTTGCAGGGTAAAGCTGATTTATTTCGGGCACTTGATAAACCCTCGAAAGCAAAAATATTGCGAGTCTCAATGAAAGCGTTGAAAGTTTTACCTTGCTTAAATATGGAAACATTAAATTGTGCCCACAAGTATGGGCATCTCTATGCCCTATCATATCATCTCGAAAGATGTGGCCAAGAAAAGGTACTCTTCAGTTAAGGATTTGTCTTGCATTAGCGATATTTTGGATTAGTTGCCCAAAACTTTAGCTAAGCGAAAAAATAGTTCCCTATCATGTTTTGTAGAAAGCTTTTTCTTTATTTCTTTTTTTGGGTGGTAGAAATCAGGTTATTGGCAAGGATTTTATTCTTTGTGCCTTTCATCACTGCAGGATCGCTTGCCTTGGAAGTGCTGGAAGTGCGGTATTACAGCAACCATTGCAGAAAGTCGAGAACATTTGACTCTTTGTCAGAATCCAAAAATTATTACAAAGGAGAGGTGGCTGAAATGTTTACTTTCAGAATATAAATTTGTTATTGCTACTAAAAATTACTGTCGTAAACTCAGATCAAAAATATTTAGGTCAGCGCATGAATCTGAGCTTAGTTCAGAAAATGAAGAGTCCGATGAAGATATTTCAGCTGATGCGAAAAAGATACGTCTGGAAAAAGTGATTTCATTGTGCCAGTTTTGGTTCAGTTTTCTGATTGTCTTAAAAAAGTTACTTTACATTGAAACTATTTTTAGTCGATCATGCAGTTCATAAGTGACTACTATCTTTCAGTATTGCATATTTTGTTTCGAAAATAAGACAGTTTTTTTGATGGTATCATTGCAAACAATACCTTTTGAAGAATCCGTTTTCAACCACTTCTACTTGTCTTCCTAAAAGTGCTTTCCACGATAGATGGGGTGGTTAAAACCTTCATTAAACATAGTGACAAAATTCGTTTTCTCAGTTTCTTATTTCAGATCACGTTCATTCGTTAATTATAGGGTGAAAAATATAAAAAGCAAAAATTACCGTCCATAGCTCGGGGATACTTACCAGAAAAAGATTCTCGTGTGAAGATCGCTGACGGAATTAAGCGATTCAAGTTTAAAAGTGCGAATCGCGAAGGTAAAGAAAATTTATGAATTTCTGAGTTTTTTTGTAATCCAGTTAGTGCAGCCTTAATTGAGTCTTAACCGAAATTACGGTTATTCAACTTATCTCTTTTCTTTCAATACTTTCCCTCATTTCAAGAAATGAACATCGACTTAATAATTTCATATTTCACTGTTTTGTTTCATTGAAGCTAGAATTTTTTCGTTGAATAGGTATTCTGTCATTTGAAGCAACAAATTAAATTAAAGCATATGTTCCAATGCTAGTCATGGGTGGAAATTATGTATAGAATTTTCAGAAATGATGATATATACAGTATGACGCGCTTATTCGTGCAAAGTTATGAAACTATCATTATAACAAGTCGCGACCTATTTTATTAAACATTTTGCAAGTGATTTGCACTATAATTTTTAGAACATTAATTTGTTTAGCTAATGCTCCAACACCTCGAGAACTTGAACTATATCAGCAGTCAATTGATGAAGCTAATGAAATTCTTCGAAAGAGTCGAGAGAAGGAACCTCTCTGCAGCGTCCTCGTACAACTCGAGCTTTATTCAGCTAATTTTTCAAGAGTTGCATCGTGCGAGTTCAGGTTCATCTGTTTGCACTTTCATGTTAACCACTAATAAATATTTCATTAGGAAGCTTTTAGTTTGGAACGTCGTACAAGATTTTCAAATTACAGTGAAGATTTAAGTGCTATGCTTAGTAAGCGTTCCATTCCTGTTGTAATCCCTTCGGATCAAAGTGATGAAGATAAAACTGTTACTTCGACTCATGCTTCAAGTACCCAGACTAGAAATACAAAAAACAAAGCAGGAAAGACGAAGGAAAGATTATCGCTTTTCGTTCCAAAACCTTTGCATTGCAAAGTGAAAAAAATGTTTGTTTTTGAAATTCTACCAATTTAAACTTTTGCTATGAGGGAGTTATTATAGTGTATGTTTTTCCTTTCATGAAAGTTACATTGAATTTCGTAAACAAAGTTATTGAGTTCGTATTTCAAAGTTGAATTTCTATCGATAAGTAATGCTTCATCCCAATGTCTTTGCACTTCAATGATTAATGCATGCTCAGTAGTTGATATTATAAATTTTATTGTTTCATGATCCATCATAGTTTGTGTGTCCCTAATTATCTGCTTAAAGTGATAGAGATAATAATTATTAGTACAAGGATTAGTTATTTGATTATTGCATTTACTTTGTTTGCATCGTCTTTATTCAACCTTTTCTAACATTTTAAATCTGGAAAGCTCTAATGGTCAGTTCTTTCAGAAATTCTATTTTGTCTAAAAAGCAAGTACATGAAATTGGCTGTATCGCTTATTGTGGAGGCCCAATATCAACAATTAAAAGTTGTCCGCGTAAGTTAGAAGATGGTTAGTTTTTGCAGTCATCAAGTTATCCTTTTATATGACTTCATATTCTTCAAGATTATCTAAATTATCTATGGACTAGAAAAAACTTAATTCAGAGCGCACATAAAAAATTATTGTTTCTGCAAACTTTGCTCTTATTCATTTTTTGTTTAGGGCGTGAATGTGTAGCTGTAACGGTATTTCCTGATGAAGAATATTTGGTTTCAAAAAATCGTAAAGATTCCAATGATTATATTCAATTTTGGCTTTATGATTACAAACCGACCAGGTACAGTTTGCTCTGCATCGTAGTAGGACAGATCAATTATTTAATTATGGAAAGTCCTATTTCCTTGCAAATTTTTCGTCACAAAGCTTTTTCCTTTTTTCAGTACAGTTGCCAGTCTGTGGTTTCTTTTGGAAGTGAAACACAGTACAGTATTATGTACAGCTTGGTGTCCATCCTTACGCGGTTCTGTCAAACAAGATAGCAAATTGTCGGATTTTGTTGGTATTCTTGCAGTTGGCGGTATTAATGCTCCTATTTCTTTTTATGGGTTTCTTGTTTTTCTTTGCTATAAACTATTTTTTTTCCTCATATGATTGCAATTTATTCATCTAATGTGCAAAAGTTCATTCTTATGTAAACTTATTGACTTGTATGAGAGTTTAATTGCCTTTTAGTTAAATAAGAAATTGTCATTTAAATCAAGAATTATTCAGTCATTAGCTAAACAATTAGAAAATATCGAACATACTGTTTTTATTTTTGAAATTAATTGAGTTTAAATCAAGAAATCGTTTTTTTTACCAGCTTCATACACGAGACGTTTTCAAGAAGTATTCCAACTATGTTTAATTGTTCTAGATATAATTTATATGATTCCAGAATCCGTAGTGATATTTGTGCCCAGTTTGTGAATAATACTGACCCATTGCTACTTCGTTGTTCTGAGCCTCATTTAGCGCTTAATTGTCCTGAATGCTGTAATAACTCACCAATAATTTCAATTTCATGGAGTGAAATTCGTGGTTCCAGCAAATTTGCGGCTGTTTCGGCATCAGGTATATTCCTGTAGCTTTTAGCATTTGAAATCAAATTTATGTTCTTAATATAGTTTAATTTTATTGGTTTATTTTAAATTAAAGGTCATGTATTAATTTGGGATCTTGATGAAGGTATCGCATCTCCTAAGATCATATCTAATATCGAGTGGCTGTCCCCTCCTCTGAATGTCGCTTTCTGCGGTTCCGAACAATGTTAGTTTGTTATATTATTTTTTAAGTTGTTGCTTATATTTTATAAAAAATTCAATAAAGTTTTGGCAAAACTCTTATAAAGCTTAAATTTCAAAGAGCAACTCTCGAAAAATATATTTGCGTGCAGTATTTTTCCTGTTCATAAATAAACTCTTAAAAATACGTTTTATTTATATTAGTAGCTGTATCGTTTCGTGAGAAACTGATCAGAATATATGATTTGGCATCATTGACATTGGTAATTGAAGAAAGTGCTCAAAGAACAGCTGGAATGCAGGTTGGAAATCAGGTTTTCACTCACTAATTCAATGGATAAAACTTCTATTTTTCGAATTTGAATTGTGTCAGCGTTGAATAAATTGTAGGTTTGTTCACGCGAGGGTCTTTTCAGTGGTGTGTTCAGTTACCAACAAGATTTTACTCTAAGTGGAATTCATCTAAAATGTGGAACTTGCTATATCGTACTAGGTTCATTAGAAGGGAATTTTTTTGTTGTACCGTTGGCAAATAGGTTCATATTAATTAGTCTTCATAAAAAATTCTGTCTTTTTGTCTCACTTGTTCTAAAAAAAAGCATGCAGTAGAAAAGTCTTGTCGTACAGCCTTGAAGAATTTGTTATTAAATGCCGTGAAAGTTTAATGAGTTCTTTGGTCTTCTTTTATTCGAAATGAATCTGTTGTTCTGTTCAACTCGCATTTTTGTTCTATCTTCAATTTAGACATGAAGTACAGATCTGGGACATGTGTATTTGTCCAAAAACGGGTACGGTGATTTCTGTTGGAGCAGATGGTCGTCTTCAGATTTCTCTTAATGGCCGTTTAGTAGCTAGCGGGTCGGAAAAAGATTTCGGATTCAGTGTATGTCAGGTTGTTATGACAGTAGTGAAAAAGTACGAAGAAAAGCAATTGAAGGTTTTATTTTCTATTGATTACTAATCTTTTATTCTCTCAAATTTTTGTATGCGGAAAAAGTAAGCCATAAAAAAGTGACAAAGCTATAATGTTCGGAAAGTAATCTTTGTTATTGATAATTTAGTCTCGTTTTCATAACTATTTTATCTGCTTCAGCAGATTTTGTCTTGTCTTATATTAAGCAGACAGTATTTTTGATCAATGAACCGACCTCGGATATTATCAGTCAAATAGATGATGGAGAATGTGAAGTTGGAACTGATTTCCCTCTACCTCTAACAAATTTGGATTTGTGTGCTGAAAAGTCCTATCTCGAATTCTGTTTTGAAGATATCAAGGTATGCCTTCATATGTACTGTTTTTGGGTATTTATGCGCATGAATTATATAGTTATATGCGGAGACAGAGTGTATATGTGCGTGAAATGATTGAAAAATGAGTATATATTATGGATATACGTGGGGGCATACTCATAGACATTGTTAAAGATTTGATCTCAATTGCGATTACTCTTGTCAATCGAAATATTTAGCATTCTGGAAAAGCTGCTGTCCGCTGATAAATTTATGTTTTATCAAATATTAACGTCATTAACATTTCATATTACTCGCTATTAATTTTGCTATCATGCATCTCGAACTTTTTCAGCACACTAAAACTCCTATTCCACAATTTAGTCTCGACCTTCGCACAGAATCACTGAACCGACTAGCTGTAAGTGAACCGTCTGGTCAATTAGTGATTAGCGGTGGTGAAGCTGGACTTTTAATTTTTATTCCTTGTTATTTAAAATGATATTTCCTGTAGTTTTTGCTGTATCTTCATCAACATCTTTGGTTAATAGTTCGTCAACTCTGTATGTCATTTCCAGTGTCCTGCATTATCTTTTTTTATCTTAATATCTCACATATATCTTTATGATCACGTTGCTGTTTTTTCCAAATTTATTTTGAAACTGTGTAACTGAAGTCTTAATATAGTTTCTTATTAATAGTGTGCTGCTTTTTGTAATCTAACATTGTCATTATTCATCTACCAAAAAAGAATTGCTGCCCAAAGTTTATTTCTTATATGAACTCTGTATGTTTTTTAAGTGTCATACTGTACTACAACTGTGTTTCTCAGGAAATCTGTAAAAATCGTTTTTTTCTGCTGTAGTGATTAAATTAATTATAAATTTTGAATGGGATATAGTAATTGCTACATTTCGTTTCGGGATAGGGAAAAATTATTTTAATGTTTAATGCGACGAGTGGCTTGCTAAATTAACTAAAAGCTGATTTAGCTGTATTGTGATTTCTCAATATGTAATCAAGCCTATTGTTCTTTGGAACTTGAAAAAATGATAAAGTTTTCTCCTGCATGTGGCTAAATCACAATTGCGACGAGGCTCATGATGTTTGTTGATTCTAACGTTTAGGATTTTCTCAAGTATATTAAGTAAGTTTCGTTAATCGAAGAAATTCGAATAGAACATGCTAGAAAGGTCTTGACAGAGTGGTGGGTGGTTTTTCGATCCGCGAACATTCAGGTTCAGTTTGAGTGTCTCGATAAGGCTAGGTCGTAATCATGGTTGTAGGAGTAGCAAGTGTTGGTGACTTAGCAATATCCAAATTGTTCATCTCTCATTTGCAGTCAGTTGAAAGCTTCCTAAAATGGCATTCTTAATTGACAGAGCAATTGATTTGGGTTTGTAACGTTGGGAAAACATGTAGAGAGAAGTAAATTGTAGCAATGGTTTTTAAAACTGGATCGTAATTATCAGTCACATAAACACGGGAAATGAAGTAACTCAGTTTCAGAATGAACATAATAATTGAAACATGGGTTGAATCAACTTGGAGGTTGAATTATTTATTATTGCTTACGTATTCAGCTCTAGATGTTTGAAAAATGGCTACGATTAAATTATATCGAACTGTGCAAATCCCTCTCCTAGATTTCAAAACTCATTAATTAATAATTAGCTATCGAAAGTCTAGAAATGATATGTATTGCTCAAGAAGACTGAAATTTTCTTACGTACATATACGAGCACGTGCACATATAAACATATGGTGTACGAATGCACACTTCAACATTGCATGCAGTAGTGTAACAGAAATTTTGAAAAACGAACAATTTTTTCAATTCGTCTGTAAATTTCTCAAGATCGAAGACATCCCGTTAGATCACATTGCTTGTTAGATACATAAAATAAATGATATGCGTAGCAATTTTTGTTGTTGTAGTGTTGAAGCGAACAAAGAAAAACAAATGATCAGATGGTACGTGTAGAATCGAAACCATACTTCTACTTTCTACTAAAGAGTTGTTCATGCATATGTGAATTTCGGTGTATGTCTGTTGAAGTGCAAAAATCTTTAACCAGCTGTTGTGAACAGAGTTATGAATGTGGGCTATTTTATAAATCCACATTTTCTAAAAATAAGTAAACTAGGTTGAACTGGAAAAGATTTACAGAAGCAACTTGAAAGAATCTTAGACAATGCAATAAATTAAGTACGCCTGAGTGGGAGGAATTCAAAGCGAATTCTTTATTCAAGTTTAGGTGACTATGAATAGGGCGAAACGAAGAATTTATTATAGAGTAGATATGTTTTTTGAGCAACTTTTCTCTATGTTTTTGTTATGAAGCTCAGCAGTTAATATCTCAAGGAAGTACGAAGTAAGCATTGCATAAGCAAAGAGTCAGTTTTATTCTCAGAACAACACTGCGAAAAAATACTTCGAGGATATCGAAGAAATAAAAAAGTTTTCGCAAAACATATCATTGATCACCACTGAAAGAGCGAAATTGTTAATAACATAAGAAACGGTTTTATAATAAAAAGTAAAAATAGTGATAGTAGCAGTGATTGTACTGATGTCAGTAGCGTTAGTGTTGATAGTGATACACTCTTGGTGTTAACTATCCGTGTTTTCTCGTTTTAATCTCTCTGTGTTTGATTTCTCCGCGAACTCTGTAGCAGTTTGTTGTCAAAATGATCATCATTATTGCTATGATATTATCATTATTATCGTTCTCATCATCGTACATATTCTCACTCGCTAGTCACGCAATGCATTAAAACTTTTTCAAATGCTGTGCATTACATTACAAAGTATTACACATTTCTCAAAAATGAAAGAATCGAAAGGGAAGCAACAGCTGTTCCAAAGCTAGCAGCAGATATATTAAGAGAAAGATATTTTGCAGAAGTCTAAAATGTTAGCTGAAGGAGGAGGTGGGAGCTGAAGTAACTGAAGCAAACTAAAAATTACACTGGAGGAAGGCTTGAGAAAGTAGACTCCAGCAAGTTCGTTACTGCTACTGATCAATCCTTATTTACTTCGAGGATCGCAGCCTAAGAATGAACAAAGTATTTCATTTCATCTAGTCTGCCAACTTGGATACTGTTGCTAGACTCCTTCTGAACTTATTTTCTTAAATATGTATTGTTGATAAATGCCGGAAAGTAGAACTTTGTGTCAAAAAAATTGCATCAAAACTATTTCAGAACCAAAATTCCGATGCATTTTAAAATTGTTACAAACGATGATAATATATTTTATTCCCAGATTATTAGGCTGGAAATTAATTGATTAATAATAAGATAAAACTTATGTATTGAAGAATGTGATAGATTCATGACAAAATTGTACGATGGCATTTCGTCTTATCCATTCATTAAACTCAATAGTAATTATTATATGATTTCGATCACCATCATTTGTTATTAACTACAATGTTGGTGTTTTTATTTTTGGCTGCATGGACATATGCTAATTGTAATAATGGCATTCACCATTTCTAAATCGTTTGTGATTTCTTATTTGCCATTATGGTTAATAGAATATAGAACATTTTTTACTGTCAAAGTAGTTAACAAATGACTACAATCATACATTTATGATTGTGACTATGTTTTTACCAATTTCGATGACATATTATCCAGACTGCAAATATTGATGGTCATATTTAAAAAATTACGATCAAAAATACTTTTGAAGAAAATATATATTTTCTAATTTGAAAATTATTTCGTCGAATTTTTGACTTCATGAATTAAGAAAAAAGATTGTGCATATGAATATAAAGCATATGACTGATTAGATAGGAAGAATAAGTAAAAGCCAATAAAATCTCGGATTTGGTAAGATGTGACTAAGTGATGGCATCAAAGAGTTGGTAAATTTATTAAAATGAATCGTTCTCATTTAAAATCGTATATTCACTTTCTTTAACCTCATTTGTTTTTTCTTGTGCTAATTATAATTGAATACTCAGAATTATGGATCAATACTATGATTACACTTTTTTGTGGTCATAACAGCGTATACTTCATTCTTACTATCTGTTCGTTTCCGCAAGTGATTGATCTCGATAAGATTTCTCATCACAACTGTTTCTACGTTCTTATCTTTTTGTAGTTTGATAACTTTGCGGGAAGCACAGCAGTAAATTCGAGAAAATAATCATGGATGCAATTAAGAAAAAGATGCAGGCGATGAAAATCGAGAAGGTATTTTGATCATTTGAACTTTAAATCCAAACCATATTGGGCATTTACATTTCGATGGTTATGTAAAAGCTTGCAATGTTTAGTGAATGCGAAAAAAAAAACTTGAGCATGTTAGTGAAGCAACTAAGCACTGATTATTATTTGAATTAAAAGAATGAAGCCAATAAAAGTTCAACTTTAACGAAGAAAAAATTATTATTACTGAATATGGATTTGAGCTTGTGTGTAACAGTTTAGGCTAAAATTTTAAACAAACAGCACAAAAAGTGATTTAGACTTTAAAAACATTTTAACAACAGTCATAAAATTTCGTTTCTCGGAAAAAATTCATATAAACTAAATCTAAAATAAACCGAAAGAGTTTATCACTTAAACTTTGTGTACTTATTTAAGTGTTATATTAAAAATATTTTCAGTTTATTAAAGATAATTTCAGTTTAATGAATCACTTTTTATCACATCGAATTTGATGACTTTTGATTTATCTTAAAATTTGGTGTATCGAGTACAAAAGGCAAAATTTCCCACTGACTTGCTCTAATGTTCATACTAACTTTTCATTTTTCAAGTATTTATGATCAAAAAAACAATTTGTAATAAATGTAAATCAGATAAGTTGAAAAAAATTTTGAAGCTCTGTTAATGAAAATATTTTCCGAGCAGAGCTGATTCAAGAATCGTTGTACAATTTGCAAAGTTTACATTTAGAACTCAGATGAATCTTTTTATGTTTAACGCAAGAATCAATTAAGGACAATGCCCTCGATCGAGCTGATGCAGCAGAAGAAAAGGTACGACAAATGACTGATAAGCTGGAACGAATTGAGGAGGAATTGCGCGACACGCAAAAAAAAATGATGCAAACAGAGAACGATCTCGATAAAGCCCAGGAAGATTTAGCTGTTGCTAATACCAACTTGGAGGAAAAAGAGAAAAAAGTCCAAGAGGTATGATTCTTGTAAACATTCTTGAGGTAACTTTTTGAGAAAAATAGTTTTTGGATTTCTAAATACTAGTTTCCAATAAAAGCAATTTGTTAATGCACAAAACTTCTAAAAAAATCATGCAAATCATGCAATCAGACTTTGTTGATTAGGTTAATTATGATGCAAAACAATCAAATTCATTTTGCAGTCGTATTTACTGAACTGTCTGATGAGTGAGCAAAATTGAAGCTAATCAGCTAATTAAGTTATGAATTCCATTTAACTATTAAAAATTCCTTACGATGAATAGTATGTGAGCCTCTTCTTATCTACTCAAATCCTCCTCATACAAGCACAATCTGTCGAATAATAACAGCGACAACAACGACCCCTTAGCAACAAAATTAATGCTAACTGTAATAATGATAACAGATAATGACGTGAACAATGATATGAAGCAATGGTTATCGTCTTTTAAAAAGTATGTTTATTTTAATTCTCGTTTAAATGAATTAAATGATTCACATTCATAAAAAGTATTTTCAGATTAGTTAGACTAAAAGTTTAGAACATTACAATACGTTGAAATCTCTTCTTTAGTTTTAGAAACTTATGTAAACTTGCAACTATCATATAAAAAATTACAGTTGTAATTCCGGTCAGGTCATGATTGCAATTGTAATCAAGCATGCTTTATGCAAGAATCCTTTGAATACAATTTTTTTTTTTTAATTTAGAAATTTTTCCATAAATCTCAAACCAGTTATTATAGTTCTATTGAGTAATGTAAAATACAACTACTCCCTTTTAAGAAATATCAGTGTGTCTTAATTAAAACTATTGTATTATGATTTTTGGTTAACAAAACTTTTTGAGGATTAATAATTTTTGCTCCACTTTTTAGGTTCATGGCATGTACCAATATTTTACATATTTTTGAGAACATGAAAATTGATTTCACAAAATCTCTGGAAATATTTTTATAGTTTTGTATCATAAATCAAATGGAACTTTCTAAAGGCAGCCAATAAAATTTAAAGATAAGAGAATTGCCCTAAAATGTGAGTTCCGGAAAGTTTTAGACGCACAAGTGAATTTAATTGTCCATAACTAGAAAAAACTCAAACATTTTGGAAATAAATTTTCATCTTTACTTTTCAATTACTTAAGTTATGGCATGAAGTTATGAAATTTTTTAGTAGACGTAAACATTTCTCTACAATTATATCTATAACTTCCAAAATGATCAAGCTAATTATCAGATTCTTCTTATCATATCAATGCTAGCAATTGATTCAGTAGTCTGGCGATTGAATTTACTGATATATTTCAGTACTAAACTATATTTATTTTTGGGTCGAAAATTGAATATCACATTTTATTAGAGCAATTTTCGGCAATAGATAGAAATTATAGTTTAACAGAACTCCAAAAGTAAATTTATTGCAGATTTTTACATTTATTTAGTTTTAATATTTTGCATGAATAGCAGTGCACAATTTTATCAGTACAGTGATAATATGAAAGAAGCCAATTAATTGCTGAAATAATTATTTTATAACTGAATTACTTTTTTATGAATAAAGGGTAAAAGCAATGAGAAAATTACTGGTACAACTTCGCACTACTACTGATGCAAAATGCTATAATTTTTGGTCAGCTAAACGACTTATCTATCTTACACGATTAATTTGTAAGCCATGTTATTCCCGCAATATTTTTTTGTTTTTATTTGTTAATTTAACCCCCAATTCAATGCATTAATGGTAAAAAAAATACAAAAAAGCAAATTTATTCATATCTGTAATCACTAAAACACTTTTATAGCACTTTTGCGTAACAATAAACCATTTTTTCTTGCGTCCAAATTATTTGAAGTTTTCATTGCCTGCTTAACTCCCATTTGTTTTTTCATTTAAATTTTATATTTATTTCAATCTTTGATTTGCCTGAATATTGACTTTACAAATTACTAAGTAAAGATTTATTTATTTACAAATGCACATTCTTCTGCATGTTCATTTAACGAGGAGCAATTACACATGAACTGATACTTCATGTTTGTTTGTTTGTTTGTGTGTATGTGTGTGCGTGTGTGTGTGCGTGTGTGTGTGCGTGTGTGTGTGCGTGTGTGTGCGTGTGTGTGTGCGTGCATGTAAGCGCCCTAAACAGTGTTTACTAAGTAACAGTTGCCAAGATTTGGATCTAGTACTAATGCAGACAGCTCGCGAAAAAAATTGAAAGCAAATCTTGAAAAATGTTGAAAATACAAGCAAACAAAAGAGCTTCCCGTCAAAATTTTAAAAAATTGAAACTGGTACTGGAAATGAAAATAAAAAGAATACATGACAAAAATTTCGACCAAAATTAATTATTGACCATTTTCAAAAGAATTTAAACAAATCAATAACTGTTATGCTACTTCCTAAAATTCGCAATTTCATTCTCAACTCTTGATTTTTTCTTCTTTCTAAAAAAATAATTTCTAAATTTAAACGTATTTACTTTTTTTGCTCGACTTCATGCATCGTAGAGTAGCATTTGGAATTATTTATTTTTTTAACACCAGTAAATTCAATCGTGAATAATAATGCAAATGAATATTTTGAATTACAAAAGCCTGCAAGTATTACGCTTATAACTCAACTCTTGATTTTTTCTTCTTTCTATTTACGAACGAAACCATTTTACTTTCAAATCAAGATGAATCATCAGATTATTACTATATTAGCTTATTTAATATTAATAGCTATGATCTAAAAAAACCATGAGAATAGAACTGATAAATTAATAGTGATAATAAAAATAATAATAATAATAAAGTATCACAATAATAGAAATAATGATAATGATCTAGTTAAGAATTGTACTGCACAATGAAGATAAAAAACCAAAAATAATGCGAAATTCAATTTGATTTTTATATAATTAACAAAGTTGTGACAATTATCAAATATTTTGAATGAAAATTATTTATAATATGACAAAAGCAAATTTTAACAAGAATGTAAAAGAATGAAAATAAATGTTTAATTGACTGAAATCAAATTTAAAAGAAGAGAATCAGTTAATGACTTCATGTAATTAGTAGATTCAAGAATGAAGATAGCAAGTTTTTTCTTACTCAGTTTCGAATATTTATCCAAATGTGCATATATATAATAATATATAATTCAATAAATGTAAATTTAATCTTTTCCCAGTTATATTTATGATGAGACTAATGCAAGCAAAATTGCATTAGTTTTTTTTTCAAGCAAGATTACCTTCATTTTGACGTGAATTATTAAAAACATTATGTGAACTTTATCATGACATTGATAAAGACATGAATAAATATAAATTTAAATATAGATATAGCAATACATCTATTTTTTTCTTCATAAATAGTTATTTGCTGATAATGATCATTACAATCATTTCTGCTGTAACTTTACCACTTGATAACAACCGCCCATACTTCAAATTTCCCTTGGGGCAAAGTATAAACTGGCTGCCAGATTATTTTATTTCTGTATTACCATAGATGATTGTAGGTGTTTTCTTCGAAAAGTCTACCATGTGCTTTTCTTGAGGAGGTTATTATAGGTGAAATACTAATTGTTAGTGCAGTACCTGATTATTAAAATATAGATTTTTGAAAGCAGTATTTTTGAAGGATTTTTTAACATAAATTTATTAGAATAAAGGTTTCATCAAAATATTGATGGCACAAAAAAACTAAAATTTCATTGATATTTGAATCTCTCAATCATTTTTATGCTGCAAAACCGGTTTGAAATAAGTAATTTACTTAGCCCAGGGATAAAACTATAAATAAAATAATGATATAAGTACAAAGAGAACTTAAATCGATTCGTTTTATGGCTATTCCTTTTTTATGAATAGTGGCAAAAAATATCCTAAAGCATTTTTTCGGTATGGAGTGATTTTAATACTTGTATTGACCATTTTTTACAAAACTATATTCAATCATAATACTTTTTATTGCTCTGTATCATACAAATACTGACATATAAGTTTGAAGTTTTCTGAAGCTAGCAATGAAGACCTTCCATTTTGTACTAAGGCAAGAGGTAGTAAATATTTGTAACATTATCTGTAAAGGACTCTGGAAATGAGTCCTTTCAGCCTTTTATGCGGAAGATACTGAAGGTTTTTATCAATTTCACTAAGATTTTACCTCAAAATTTTGTTCTGACTCACTTCAGAATGGTGCGATATATATAAGACTTCAATAGAAACGCTTCTTTTTCAAGTCAGAATAAGTCAATTCAATACATTCAACGATCAATGCATTTTTTCTTGTCAAAAAATTGTTAACCTCACGTATAATTATTGATAATGCAAAGTTTTGCACTCCAGTTTTCATCCATTATTCTGAAATTTTAAATAAAAAACAGTGCTTAATTTTGAAGTTAAAGGATCACTAATAATAATTACGATAATAATAATAGTTATTATTATGGGATAATGCAATTTTTTTATAACATTGTAAAAGTAGTTCCAATGATGACGTTAATAAAATCAAAGTAATGATTACCATTACCAATATTACTATAGAAGTAAATAATCAACAGACCAAACTTGTCAGCAGAAATTTTCAAGTGAAATCTCAAGTACATATATAATTGCGTTTGGATTATAATCGACTTTCTGGTAATCTAAATTTTCGATAAAAATTGCAGTATTTGTCAAGACGAATTGTGGTATTTGTGATGTTAAAAAGAAGACAGATGAGTGGAAAAATGATTTGACCCAATTTAAACCAATAAAAAATAACAATTATGCATGAATAGCACTTAGTAAATCAGTCCTTTACAATATAAGATAAAAAAGGACTACTATCACTTGCATACTAAAAGAAAGTATCTATCCGATTTCTGTCATTCAGACCAAACATTTCCAATTCAATAAATGGTAATAGTTCACGCAGTATAGAAAAAGGGAAAGTTCAAGGCATTTGCAGTTAGCATAAGTGGACAATCTCAGGAGCGTCATTATTTTCATGTTTTTAAAGAAAACTC